ACTCACTCATTCTCTGATCCATTAACCTATAAATGAACTGGCTTTGGCACATGAGCTTCATTTGGTGGTTATACACACATGCACACACACACACACACACACACACACACACACAAACACATGTAGGTGGAGCAGTAGGAGAGTTAATTCATACTGCCATACCATTTACATTAATATTCTAAATTGTTGTTACGAATGAAGTCTTTATTAAATGTTTACTATGTCCAGGAAAGTGCCAAGAAATTTCTTTTCTGGGTCTTTGATAGATGTGGCTATGGCACCTTCAGGACCAGTTGCCAGGCTGTATCTCCACTGGGGTTGCTTCCCTGGATGATGGCTGAAGACACTGGGTCAGAAGCATTGTAATTCCCAAGGCGCTTAGTTTTAAAATCCTGGGCTTTTTACTTTGGGATGTAAGGGGGAATGATGGTCAAGTTGGCAGTGGTATTTTGACCTGCCAGGCACATGCTGCCACCTCTGTCTACCTCAGGCTATCATGCTGCTTTTATCTAGCTTGCCTTTTTTGCACTGTGTGTGGCAGTTGATTGGTAGATAATGGGAATGGTCGGCCACTTCAACATGAGAGTTATTTCCTCAGATGATGACTATGATGGTGGGATGGAAACAGAATATGAGGGTAGGAGTTGGGGTGATGCTGCCTTTTGCTGATAGTTGTTGTTCATGATGATGAGGAAGGTGTCCCTCCCCCCAGCCTTTCAGCAATGATTCCTCAACTCAATGATGGCCATGGGAGTTAGTCCTATGATCCACTTATGAATTTGTGATCTCATCACTGTGATACTTGGACCTTGGTACAATATAAGTTCTTTGAGGGTAGGGGTAGAGGTTTTCATTTATTTATTTATTTGTTTGTTTGTTTGTTTGTTTATTTATTTATTTCTGTATCTCTAATATTGGTATGATTAAAAGACCTTGATAAAGGCTTATAGAAAGTCCTGGGGGACTTTGGAGGAATTATGAGAGGAAATGATTGAGAATTGTAGAAGATGAGACTAGTAAAATGTAGATGGGTTGTGATGCACATATGGAAGATGGTTCCTGTAATGATGAGATCACAGGTAAATGGAAGTATCGAACTTAACTTGGCACTGAGCACAAGACTAGAAGTGTTGAATAAGCCTTTGTTGAATTCAAATAACAAGGTAGAGTAGAAAAACCAATGATTTGAATTTAGGATGATAGGATCTGGGTTCTAATTTTCTTCTGTCACTACCCATGTGACAGTGGGCAAATCATTTAACCCAGGACTGCAAAATCTGTGGCTCATGGGCCACTTGTGGCATGCCAAAGGATTTTGGGCAGCCCATGAAAAACGTAGAGCAAAACATCTAAAATGCTTTGGTGTGCCTGAAGTGGCCCAGGGCCCCAAGTTGTGCAGTAATGGGGACAATTTTTCATCTCTAAAAAAGAATGTTGGGCTAGGTGACCTCAAACTGCAATCCTACAACACTAAAATCTCTTCTAGCTCTAAATTTATCATCTAATGGTGATGAGAAAGTTTGTCAAATTATTTTCTAAAATTCAGGTGTGTCGTTTCTATGGAATTCCTTTGCTTTACCAACATTTTTACAATGTTCTTTTCCTTGCAGATTTTTTTTTGTACTTAGGTAATTATCTAATTCTATCTTGCATTACCTTGAACAAGTCACTTGACTCTGCTTTAGTTTCCTCATCTGTAAAATGAGCTGAAGAAGGAAATGATAAAAACTCCAATAATTTTGCCAAGAAAACCCCAAATGGAGTCACAAAGAGTCAGATATGACTGAAAAATGACTGAACAATAAAAAAATCTTTCATTGTACAGATTCTTTCATGACTGAGATACCTGAATTCCAGGAGGTCAGGGATCCTGGCTTAATAAATGCTCAATAAATACACATCTGTTAAAGAAATGAACATAAAACTGGGAAATAAATACTGAAATTATTCCAGCTTTTTACATGACTTTTTATTCACCAGGCTTACAATGACTTCAAAGGGGGTTCTCTTCATGAGAGGTTTGTAGGCAGATGTCTATAAATAGTGATCCTCTGACCATTAAGTACAATCAAACATTGAAATTCCACTTGAAAGCTCCTCACAGACAGAGCAGTTGTTGATTGAAGAACACAAAGAGTAAGAGTGTACCTGCTCTTTACATTACTGGTTTAATTTATAAGGGGGCAGAGTGTCGTTTCCTTCTCTAGACACAGTTATAAAAACAAATGATTTCCAAGCAAGAAGCACAGTCATTTATTTCTCTAGTAGCTGTTTAGCATATTGAATAGGGTACCCACCTTAAGTTCCAAAAGAGCTGAGTTCAAGACTTGTGACCTTTGACCTTAGCCAAATCATTTAACCTCATAGTGTCCCAGGTGACTTTCTAACTTTCTAAGTTAACGAACAGTTTCTCGTCTATTTAATAATAGCTAGCATTTACATAGCACTTTAAGGCTTACATAGGGCTTTTCATATGTTATATCATTTAAAATTTATGACAACCCTAGGAGGTAGGTTCTATTATAATCCTCATTTTTACAGATGAGAAAGTTAAGCCTTGGAACAGGTGAGTGACTTGTCCAGGGTTGCACAATATTTTCCTGAAGCAGGATTTGAACTTAGATCTTCTGAGCTCCCAGTGTAGAACATTACTCACTTCACCACAAAATGAATTAGAAAGCAAGTGGAAATACACACTATAGGTTCTTCTTGGGGACTTCCCAACAGGAATAAAATGATGGGTGTTGCCACTCCCAAACCACTTGCTATTTATTAACTTTGCTTTTCAAGGAAATGTGACTGGAATGGCTCCTACATTACTACCCTAGGATTTGAGACTCAGAAATAATAATAATAATAATAGTAGTAGTAGTAGTAGTAGTAGTAGTAATTGTAGTAGGAGTAGTTGTTTAGGTCTAGACCTGTGGTTTTATTGATATAGGGAGCTCCAAGATAGGAAACTCCCTCTACCAATGCACATCTGCATTTTCTTTGTAACTCATAACCTTAGCTACATAGAGAATTGAGAGGATCAGTGTCTTGTGAGGAACACAGACAATACATGTCAGAGGTGGTTCTTGGACCCATTTCTTTCTGACTTCAAGGCTTTTCTCAACAATAGTACCTTATTATATAAACTTTAATGTTTTCCCCTCTAAGATTTATTTGTGTGTGTGTGTGTGTGTGTGTGTGTGTGAAGACGAACTAGGCCGTCTTTTGCCTCATTTCTTACCTAGCTTTTAATTCCTGAATGGATGTTGCCTCAGACAAATTGAGACCTGGGAAAGACCTTAGCTTAGAAAGGCCAAGGTCTCCCATTGCATCTGGGGTCATCACAAGTTATCCTGACCTATGTCTTGCCACTGGACTCTGATGACTCTGGAGGAAAGAGTGAGGCTGATGACTTTGCATAGCTCTGCCTCATTTAAATCCTATTCACTTGCAAGTCAAGACATCACTCAATAGCAACAAGACTTTAGGATTTATGATGAGATTTCTTTATTACTCAGTGATGAAAGAAGTTTATTATTGTTCCATTTTACAGATAAGGAAACTGAGGCTTAGGGAGGCTAGTGACTTGCCTGCAGTGACATGGTTAGATCTCAGAATTGTTGGTCCAATGAAGATTTTCTGACTCCAAGCTGTGTCCTTTCTACTATACCAAACTGCCTATCCATAAATCCCACTACCTTTAAAACTTAAAAACCACAACAACAAGGTGAAGAAAGGAAGAGAATTATTTCTCAGTAGCATTCATGGCCAGCCCCTCTAGTGTATTAGCATCTTAATTAAATCACTCTTAGCCAAGTTTCCCTGCTCCTGCTTATCTCAATTACCATTCATTGACTGAATTGGAGTGTGGTGAACAAGAAAGCTGTATCTAAATATTTGTTGAACGTAGATTCTGCCTTGAATATGATCCTGCAACCTGATAGAAAAGATGATTCAGTAGTAATGCTTTTGTGCTTGTCTCCCACTTCTCATCTAAGTGGTAGCAAAACTGCCTGGATAAACCACTGAGTGTCTCAGCATCTTTGTCTCCTGAGGCATAATCAAGAAACATGGATATGTATCTTTGCCCAATTTGGGCCATTTAGGGCCATTCAAAAATCAATTCAAATGTCAACACTCCATAATGGAAAGGAAAATGTCAATTTTCTTTGACTAAACAAAACAATAATACTCATTAAAAGGTACTTGGAAGGCAATGGGGCTTTGAGGAGGTATAACTAATTCCTAATGCAGCAAGAACTGGTTTTCTTCCCATATTTCAAATAGGTACCAATAATTTCTATGGATTAAGTGGCCCTAACTGATCCTGCAGAAGTTGGTTGGGCTAGCTGGGCACATGCAAATTGGAGGTACCTATTTAGACCCAAATACACACTAGTATCAGAGAGAGAGTGATCTCTAAGGATCATAGGTAAAGGAAATAATAGAGAGATCTCTAAGAAAATAGAGAAAAAGGAAATAATTCTTTAGCTTATTCTTCTATGAAGGGAACATGACTTGAACAGATCAAAAGGATCTTACTTCAACTCTAAAGTCTGGAGTACTTAAGTGTCCAGCTCAATAAACATTCAATTCAACAAAAAAAAATATGATAGAAAAAATACATAATCCAGACACTGTTGTTACATTGAGCTTACTCATCTCTGTGATGACTGAATGGTTTTTGGTAACTATTTTCCTAACTAAGGAGGGTCTTCAGCTTGCTTCTGAGGTGAGGGTTTAACTTAGGATAATAGGTGCCTAGATGTGGTGTTCATGTAGTTCAGCCTCCACATTTTATAGTAAATGAAACAGAAGCCCCCAGAGGCAAAATGACCTGCCCAAGGTCACACAGTAAGTAAGCATCAAAGGTAGAATTTGAAACCTAGATCTCTAAATCCTGGGAGAGTGAGCTTTCTACTATGCCAATTTGCCTCTGTTTGACTAAGCTGCAATTTAGGATACTGAAGTACTGTTCCTGTAAAACTTAATCTATCTAAGAAACTTACCAAGACATACCCATCTTCAATGTACAAGTTCATGAAGAGAAGGCAAATGACAAGGAGCCCTAAGAATGACACTGCTGAACGTTTCCGCAAGCATCTCATTTTATCCAGTGTTGTCAAATGAGTCTCATTTGAAGAAATACATATGTTGTCTCCTAAGGGAGAAAAGCATAGAATTACTCAGTTAATTTTGGTTGCCACTATTTATTAGCCTCATGCATTAAAAGTCTGAATGGTGGAGAATATATCATACTAACTTTAAAATCAAATCAGTTTTCTAATTTCACATGGAAAGATGACAAATTAAAGTGAGGTCTTTGCATTTTTAATTGCTTAATCCACAGATATTTATTAAGCACCTACTAAGTGCCAGGCACTATGCTAAGACTTGTCTATCAGGTCCTGTATTCTAGGTGGCACAGTAGATAGAGAGCACTGAACCTAAAGCCAGGAGGACCTGAGATCAAATCCAACCTGCCACACTTACTGGTTCTGTGTCCCTAGACAAGTTAATTAACCTCTGTCTACCTCAATTTTCTCAATTGCAAAATGGGGATAATAATAGTGCCTACTTCCCAGGATTGTTATGAGTGTCAAACTAGGTAATATTTATGGATATGATATCTATTAGCACAGTGCCTGGCACATAGTAGGCACTTAAAAATGCCTATCCCCTTCCTTTCCATCATCTATATTGTATAGGTAACAAACATGCCAGCATTTCATACTATATAACTAACTTACAAACACATACATGTGTCTATATACATATATATACATGAACACATAACACACACACTAATGATTATCATAACCCCTGCTTTCCTTCAATTCCATCACCATACCCCCATCTCCACAAATCCTGACTGCTGCTGCTTTCAGGAAACACTGTGGAAAAAATAATGGAATTATTAAAATAATATATAAGCTCAAAAATTGAAGCAGAGATGCATCTTTGCACATGAAGAATATCTTAAAGGAGTTGACAAGGGGGCAGATAGTTTTCTTCTCATAAATGGGGCTAGTCTGTCCTGAAATATCTTGCATTGTATTACAGAATCTTAAAACTAGAAGGGACCAGAGACATTATTAAAATCCAATCCTCATTTTCCTTACTACGTTCATTTTCCCTAGTTCTCTTTGTGACGGTGCCTGAAATTCTATCATTCAACATTCATTTCAATTAACAAGCATCCCCTTAAAAACAATTTTGCAGAAAGGGTAAAGGAATTCCATAGTCATGCATTTTTTTGTGAATTAATTCAATGGATTATTTGCTGAATACCCAAGTTCCTCTGCTATGAGGGAATGGGAATTGGGATTTTTATTGAGGTTCAGGAAAGAAGTAAATTCGAGCATGCAACAATTTTGGGTATAAGATATCTGAAAAAGGATTTAGGATCACATGAGGTTATCTTAACACCTAAAGCAAAAATCACTAGAAAGTAAAAAATAAATGCAGAAAGGGAGGAAAGATGTGTCAAAGAAACAATTTATTTTAAAACAGTTTATTGCTTAGACCTAGCCCTTTACCTAGGAAATGGATAGAAAAGCCTTTCTTTTCCTATGGAACATACATAGGATTCTAACTGGAAAAGACCTCAGTGGTCATCTCATCCAATCCCCTCATTTGGGGAGAAATGAGGTTCAGAGATGTTTTATGACTTATCAAGGGGCATCCAACCAGTGTTTTGCTTCCAGGACTCAGCTCATACTAACACACTGATTTATGTATTGACTCATGATCTCACCATTCATTCATTCCATTGCTGAAGAACAACCCATCCATAGTTTCTTATTCTTATCCATAGGATAGCTTCCCAATCTGCTAGAGGTCTTCCTCTACCTTTTTAAATATTTCCTGTATATCAGTGTAATGATCAGGCTGCCCATTTGTTATCTCTTATTCCTTCCAGACAACTCATTTACTTCCTCTTTCAATAATGCGATGATTTCTGGCTAATAATACAATGACTTCTTGACCATGACCTCTGGCATAAAAATCTTCAATGGTAATATGTTGCTTCTTACTTACGTCCATCATTCGTGTTTCTGTTTTTTTTTTATTCACCTGAAATTCTGATTCTTCTGAAATCATTATGCTTCTTGATTCATTACCATGTCATATTACCAGCAGAATATTTGTGTAAAAAAAAAAAGAAAATTTTTTTTCCTACTAGGGAGCAATTTGACATAATGGAAAGAAAATTGCAGTTTTCCAGCTCAACTTTCTTTTCCTGTTTAATTTTCAACTCAGCTTACTATCCATTGGCAATGTTTATCATAGATACATGTATTAAAGAACTAACTCATTGAACTGACCATCTATTTATATGCCATAATCTGGACAATGTGTGATTTTTAGTGATTTACTCTGCCCTCTGTGGATGTCTAAGCACATCCTTTCTGAATAGCCAAGGATCTTACAACAAATTTTTTGAAATGTCTCCAGTCTAAAAAAAAATCTGCAATCATCCATAACAGGAACATCTGATGGACAGAGTCTACATAAAATGTAAGCTACTTAGGAGGAAGGGTTGTGCCATATTTTAACTTTGTATAATTGATAGGGAGCACAATGTATTGTATATAGTATCTGCCTGAATACCTGTTGAACTGAGTTCGATGTTTAGAGAATTCTGCTAGAATATGGACTATACTAAATTAATACTCCATTTAGTGGATTCAAGACACTAATTGATAGAATATAAACTCCTTAAGAGCAGAGACTTTTGTTATATTCCCAGAGCCTATCACAGTGCTTAGCACATAATAGTCACTTAAAAGCTTAATAATTGAATTGATATTTTGATGAGCAGATGTCTCCCTGATTTGTCATTACTCAATAGTGATACTCAAAAGAACATTAATCAAATTATCTTGGTGGTTGTGTCTATCAAAGCATTATGTATAATCCTAACATATATGTGAGAGACATCTCGTTTGAATATAGATTTTAAGGCTATTTTGGAATATCAATCATTTTTTAAAAAGAAAGAGAAGTAATAAAAAAAATCAGAGAGATCTTGTATTCTCTATACCTCTCAGTCATTTATGCATCTATGAACATGTGGTCGTCACTAGAAGACCATCTGTGATAATCTATTTTTTTTTTCATATTTCCATTGTACTCTCAATATGTGTAGAAATCGTACTTGAAAAAAAGAGATGAGAAAATAAATACATGTGCTAGCAGTTTCTGATATCTTTCATGTCACTTTTTTCTGTCCTATAAGATGAAATTGAATTCTCACTTCCTACATGAAGCCTTTTCTCCCTCCAACTGCCAGTGCCCTCCCTCCCTGACAATCTTTTATTTAGCTGTTTCATATGTATAAGTAAATCTTATCTTTTTATTTATTTTGCATTTATTCATGTTTATTTTTAGCTCCACCATTAGAATGTTGAATCTTTAAGAACAAAGATTGCTTCATTCTTTGTGATTTTATCTCCTGAACTTAGCAGTATCTGCCATGTAATAGTTGTTTAATAAATGTTTGCTTATTGTTGTTGATTGGTTGACAGGAAAAGCACTCATGGATTCTCCCCTCCCTCCCAGTCTCTTGGAGTAGTCTTTGCTTTATCATAAAAAAATTAATCCATTGGGATGAGTAAAACTGAGTCAATTATAACACAGATTTCTTCAACTTGTGGTTGCTCAGCCCAACTATTCTTTCTTCATCCTTATAATTGTCATTCCTGCCTCATTCGGGGCTCTTCTGCTGGCAGCACTGTTGTAATTAACCTTCTATAGAAATGCTAGCAAATCTGTTTCACTTCCAGTGTATTTGTTATCTTTCAGGTTTATCTCTCTATGTTTTGGGAAAATTTGAATTGATCAGGTCATTAGATAGAGATCTCCCATTAAGCATACTAGCAGTTCTTGAAAGATTTAAGAACTCTGATCAATTCAATGAGCAATTATGACTTCCCTCACAGACAGAAGATGGTTTCAAGGTGTAGATTAAGACATGCATTTTTGGCCAAAGTGAATGTATTGATTTATTTTCCTTGATTATACTTGAAACAAGGACTTTTTTTTCCTTTTTTTTTTAATACATTAACAGAGATAAGCTAGGGATAGGATTGCCCAGACAAAAATAGAAGACAGTCATTGTAGAATTTTTTTAAAGCAAAGAAAGAAGGAACATCAGAAGGAGATACCAGCAAAACAACTAAGACAGCTTTAAAAGTAACATTGAATTTATTATCTATCAAAAAAAGCAAAATATATAATAGAAGTTCTTGGTTTTATTAATATTTTTTCTGTTCTGCTTTATATATGATCAATGTTCTTTTTAGGGGTTCATTAAATTCAGAATAAAAAATAAGATAAAGAATATTAGTAGTTAAGTTAACGTGTCTGGTCTAAAGTTAATGTGATGATCTAAAAATTTCATGTTTTTATACCTTCTGAATGAACCCGTTCTACACAGTGTCTTTTTACTGTAGAAGCAGAAAGGGGGCCCAAAAAGACTCCAGGTGATTTTGTAATTTAATCTCTTTCATTTTCACCATGACCAAATATTCCATTATCTAATAATGGTCAACCTTCTTGTTATGATTCTAAATTGGTGCACAGAAAGCAGATACAACCTCTCATCAAGACAACTCTTGGGACAGCTAGGTGGCACAGTGGATAGAGCACTGGCCCTAGATTCAGGAGGACCTGAGTTCAAATCCGGCCTCAGACACATAACACTTACTAGCTGTGTGACCCTGGGCAAGTTAGTTAACCCCATTGCCTAGCGAAAAAAAAAAAAAAAAGACAACTCCTGAAGACTTTCTAGGTTGGTTACACTTGACAAATATAACTTTTGATAACACAGGTTCCCCCTCCACAGTACAGTAATTCGTTGGACTAGGGATTCTGTGAATGTTGGCCTAGGAACCTAATCCTCATAGAAAGCATTGGTTTTGATGGCAAAAAAAAAAAAGATTCCAAGTTCAAAATGACTGATTTCTAAATGTACTTTTGGAACACAGTTCATGTATAATCGTGGACTGCCAGGACAAGTAAACCAACCTCTTTTGTTTTATGAGGTTTTCATCTGGATCCTAATAGTTAAGACGTAGACATTGGATTAATCAATCATCTGGTTGAAAGTAAACTTGTGTCTTCTTTACCTGGATAGGAATGAAGAAACATAATT